AAATTGTACCAGACAAACCAAAGATACCAAGAGGAAAATAGGCAGATGAACGTCAAGCTAAGCGTAGCGAGATGATGAACAAATTCTGGAAGAAAAAGAAAAATAACGACAACAAATCATGATTTGCTTTATGTGATCCTCTAAGGGTCTAAACAATGTAAATAACAATAATAATAATAATAAATAATAATAATAATAACAATAATAATTATTATAATAATAAAAATTTCTAGTAAAAATGTGAACCATTTACGCTCATATTTCTGTCCCACCTACGATTCGAACCGATTGAAATAAGCACGGAAACCTTCGTTACTTATTCTGTGATTTCTTCCAATTAATTCGTAATAATGACCTCATTAATTGAAGCGACCGGCAACACCGTGTGCACAGACTTGTAGGGATTACCCCTATTTTATTTTGTGTTCGGATTTTTATGACAAATATTCCTCTGAAATTAGACATGGAAAGTAAGAAATATTGCGTGATTGTATTATTGGATTTTTTAAAATGTTCATTAATTCTATAAATTTAAACACACCGCAATATACAAGCCCAATAGTGTTAAAACACCAGTTATGACACGGTTATTGACAAAAACACTAGTAAAGCTACTTTACGCTAAATATACGCGCATGTTTTCTTGAGCCTAGGAATAGCTATCCTAGGTTCATGTACATCATTTCTTGAATACAGAATAAGTGATAGCAACGAGCGTGGTCGACAAAAAGAAAACGAGAAACGTTCGATCCCCGTTATAAAAACTATTTTGCACTGAAAATTGAGCAACAGACTACATATCATAGTCCTGTCGAAAAAATAGTCACCCATCCTCCACTTCTCAGCATGGTCTACCATCCCCGGCGCATCTCACACCTAGTAAAGTAAGGACTCAAGAAAAAGTTCTCGGATAATATGAACATTGAGGGACTCGAAAAACGTTCAAAAACCCGGATCTAATGCTAAAAGCATCATTAAAAAAACAATCTTGCGTCTTTTCACTTTCGGGAATTGAGAGTAAACTTCCGATACGTTTTGTCTCTTGTCTCGTAACGTCGCAATCAGTCATCCCGTCGGCCAGGGGTTCGGCACCGTTAGTAACAGGCGTTCCCAGACGGTCACCCATCCAGGAATCCATGGTATCTCGATTTCCTTAACTTCCACACAGAATTAACGCGGGTCTTAGTTAAGCAATATTGCTCTGGCGACGCCGGCCAATTGGCAACCCTGTTCCCGCCCGCACACGATGCAGCGCAGTGGCGCATCTTCGCATCAGGGCAGGGCAGGGCAGGGCAGGGGCTCGGGCGCGCACGGGTCACCTGCCATTGGCCGGTGGTGCGGTCGGGCGGCGCGGCGCTGGCGGCGAATCAGCAAAGGTCGACTGGCGCCGGACCCTTCTCCGCTCACGCCGGCGAGGGACACGGGTGGTCGGACGAGAGGACGCGCTCACGCTCTGCTAGGGGCATTCGATCACCACGGAAAAGAATCGATTCCGGAGTCGAATCGCAAAGAAAAGAATCGATTCCCAAAGAAATCATGTTCACGTGAGTACGTGCCCTTAAACCATGCTATTTACTTTCATGGAAAAAGAAAAATAGGGTGTTTGTGCACGCCACAGCGTCAGCAGTATCGAGCGTCTGCGCATGCGCAAATGCACCAAAGTGATGAGAAACTTTGAACTGCGCATGGACAGAAGAGAAAAAGGATATCCAATGAAAATATTGATGCCGGAATCTAATCGTAAGAAGAGAAACATTAGGGACGTTGTGAACGCCATAGCGACAGCGCATGCGTAGATGCACCAAAGTGATGCGAAACTTGGACTGCGCTTGCGCAGATCGATAGTGCTTTAAAGTTCGAGGGGGGCACAAACTCCCTACGGCAAAATAATCGATTCCGGAATTGAATCGCAAAAACAAGAATTGTTTTCGAAAGGAATCATATTCAAATGAGTACCTGCTCTTAAACTACGCTGTTTACGCTTTTACGAAAGAGAAGAATGGCATCCAATGAAAATATCAATGCCAGATTCGAATCGTAAGAAGTGAAACATTCAGGAACAAAATCCCTGAGCAATATCACTCCACAAAATCAGGGTCGGTATTATTATCTGTGAAAGAGGCCCAAACCCACTCCAAGGTCAATTTTTTTCTCATCAAAATGCATTTCTTAAACATTCAAAAAAAAGTATTTAATGTCAACAGAGCATAATTTAAAAAAATCATATATATTCATTTCATTCGATTCCGGTCTCTTAGAATCATTCCAGCATGAATAGGAAGCAAAGGAATAGAATACCGAAAGGAAAGAATCGATTGTGAAATAGAATCGGAAATTCCAAACGCGCTGGTCTCACGACAGAATGCAACCGGTTCTAAGAGGCCCAATAAAATCTACTAAGTTTTAATTAACTTTATTATCTACTAAGTGCCCTTGACATAATCAACTGTTCTCGGTTTCATCGGATCGGGAATTTGAACGTCCTCATTGTGACGTCACTAGCGACATACAAGCTCCCGATTGGATGAAACAGCAACAGCTGTTGCACGACTATACAGACGTTGTACGTGGTAAACTAGTGGTGTTAAAAACACATAATTTCCCGTACTCTTGGAAACGGTTACATATTTTTATATTATTGCAACTTCTTCCCACTGATACTTCTCTTGAAAACTCTTTAACACCGCCAAAAAGGGCGAAAGATTCCAAAATTGCACATTGTTTATTTTTTTAAGCATCAAAAGTTAAAATGAAATTGAAGTCGAAAAAATGTTAACTTAAGCAATTGAAAATTCAAAGATTTTACTAAAAACTGGACCTGTCCCATCTTATATACTTTGCTCTATTCGCGCGTAAAAAAATAACAAATGTGGATTATTTTCAAAAGAAAAAAAAAATTGAAAATATCACATGGGTTTCCTGTAAAGTGGTTATATCAAAACAAAAAACGTTATCCGTTTCAAGTGGCGACGAAATCTCTCTGGTCCATTGATTAACCCAAGGAAATTATTAATGTTTTTCGCTCAATCGCTATACCATAGGCGATTGAATAGTTCACACACGTGGGTGCGAGAGCTACTGCAGCCACACAACGGACAACAGATGTAGGGGCTTACTACACGTTACGGATTATTATAATTCATTCCTGTGCTCACTTTAACACTAGCGGTGCTAGGAATACATCTCACCCTCTCTCTCCCCCTCCCTCTCTCTCCCTCCTCCCTCCCTCCCTCTCTCTCTCTCTCTGACCAGCGAAATGTTTCGTACCTACCTTCAGACTCACTCAACGTAACTATTGCAGAAGACGCAAAAATAGACGAAAGAATGGCGACGCGTGGTTGTTTGTGTATGCTCCCTCGTGTTGCCAAAATGACTAATCGCTTCATTACATGGGGCATCGCGTAGCGTATAAAATTGAAACAGCGGCTATAACATGTTGCCGGTTAGATAGTACGTATCCTCTTACTCATGAAGAGGATCATATTGTTGCGTGTCAAGTTTGCACGTGAACTGTTCTTGCAATTTCTTTACCTATTTGCGTTTGTATTGTTATGTTGAGTGTTTCTGTGGTCTGTGGCAACAATAGTGAGTGATTCTTCGTTTTTCGCAGAATTGAAGACCGAAGTAAACAAAAAGAAAAAAAAAGCAACAAAACTTTCAAAGGCGAAAAAGCTGTTCACAGGAGTCTCAAACTCAAGAGCTTACAGCAGAAGC